GAGAGAAAGCATGCAAGTGGGGGAGAGTCAGAGAGACAGGGAGAGAGAGAATTCCAAGCAGGCTCCATGTTGTTAGCACAAAGCCTGATGCCGGGCTTGAACCTATGAACGAAGAGATCATGACCTGAGCTGAAATCAAGAGTCGGACGCTTTACCAGCAGAGTCACCCAGGTGCCCTTTTTTTCTTTTTGGATTTGAATTTTAGCTGATTATTACAGTTAGGTTTATAAGGAATTGCAGCCCAATAGTAAGTAGACATAATATCACCCAAAGTTCTGATTATGAGAGAACTAAGATTATGAGAGAACCTTTTCTTGTATCTGAAAATGTGAATGATGTTTCCATATTCTACCAACCTCCCCTAACACTCACATCAAGGTGTGTGATGGCTGGAGATGGAGAGGAAAATGCTCGGCGTGGAAATGTTCAGCATGCACAGGAAACAGCAGTAACTGGGAGGGGAATCCAAACTGTGATGCCTTCAGGACCCAGGCACATAGTGTGAACAAGTCCAGCCAATTTATGGTAAGAACAGCAACTACTTCTAAGGTCAGTGGGCCTGCTACCCTATCCAGAAAATTGTTACCATGCAAGAATGGAGGACCAGTATCACGTTTTCTGATTGTTCAGAAGGCAGCAGGAACCAAGATTTTTACATAAATCACCCCAATATTGGCAAGTTATTAAAATTAGAAAACAAAACAAAACACCCTGTGAGAGTGAAGTACAAAATGAAAGGTGCTAGTTTGTAATCTTGGAACATACAAGCTGGGGTATAAAACATATTATAAAAATATATTCCTAAAACTAAAGCTCTACTTCACACTCACTTTTAGCAACTGGATTTCTTCATTAATCCTCTGTGTCTGAGTACTTGTATAAATGGTCATACCAGGTAGATTAAAAGCTCGAATGCAAAAGCAATAACAAAAAAAAATTGGAAGATATAAATGAATATGTGTCAAATCTTTGATTTGGAGATGACTCTAATAATGAAAGAAATCACAGGAGAACTCTTCATCTATAATTTAACAAAAATTAAAAACATTTAATGTGAAAAATGCCTTGTGACCAAAATTAAATGTAATATAAAACCTGGAAAATATTAAAGCCAAAATGGCAAAAGGCCAATTGTCTTTACTGTAAAAAGAAAAACAAAACAAAGCAACACACCTCACAAATTGATAAGAGACGCAAAAAAAAAAAATAGATTCCAATTCCTTATGGACAGGCATGGTTTGCTGTTGTCAGTTCCTGACCGAGCTCATCTGCCAAACCACACATGTACAATACAATGAACTCTCAAAAACCTAAAAAAAAAAAAAATAAAACCTCAGAGGAAACGAGGTACCACAAAAGATCCAACAAATAGAAGAATTCACAAGGAACTAGAGATTTAACAAATATGAAAAGTCTTGTTTGGAGAAATGTCTCCTTTGCTCTTCTACCCATTTTTAAGTCAGATTATTTGTTTTTCAGTTCAAAATGGCCAACAGACGCATGAAAAGATGCTAAACATCACTAATCATCAAGGAAATGCAGACCAAAACCACAACGCATTATCCTCTGACACTTGTTAGAAGGGCTATCAACTAAAAGACAAGAAGCAATAGGCTCTAGCAAAGATATGGTGGAAATGGAACCCTTACACACTTTCGTTGGGAATGGAAGTCGGTTCAAAGACTGTTGTAAAGAGTCTGCAGATTCCCCCAAAAATTAAAAATAGAAACACCACACTGAGGAGGGCACTTGGGATGAGCACTGGGTGTTGTATAGAAACCAATCTAACAATAAATTATATTAAAAAAATAGAAACGCCATGATTCAGTAGTTCCATTACTGGATATAAACCTAAAGCAATGAGAATAGGATTTCAGCAAGACATATGAACTCTCATGTTTATCACAGTATTATTCACGAAAGCCAAAATATGAAAACAACCCGAATGCCCATCAATGGATGAATGGGTAAAAAGATGTGGTACATATACACAATGGAATAGTATTCAGCCATGAGAAAAGAGAATATCTTCCCAGTTGCAACAACATGGATGGACCTTGAGCACACTATGCCAGGCAAGATAAGTCAAAGACCAGTGGTGTATGATATCACTTATAAGTGGAATCTCAGAAAATTAAATCTGTAAAAAATAGTAAAATGGTGATTGCCAGAAAACTGGAGGGTGGTGGAGTAAGAGTAATGGTGTTTTAAAGTGTACAAACTTATAACAAGTAGCAAAGATAAAGATCTAATATACAAGATAATAAATATAGGTGTAAATATTATATTAAAATTATGTAATATGATAAATATCACTACATTGGCAATTATATCATAATACATAAATGTATCAAAGTGACAACTTGTGCTCCTTAAATTTATACAATGTTACACATTAAATTCCCTCAATAAAAAAGAAAAACAAAATAAAATATTTTAAATACATAAAAAGAACACTAACAATTAATTATATTGAAATCCTCAAAGAGATGAATAAAGCAATAGCATCCACAAAGCAAAGAACAGAAGAGGAAAATATGAAAAAGAATCAACCAGAAATCTTGGAAATAAAGCATACAGTCATTGATATTTTTAAAATAATAAAGATAAGAAACTCTAAATGGTATAACTAAGACAGCTGAGAAGAAAATCTGTGACCTGGAATCTAGTACTCTCCAAGAATGTATTATTATCAAATTAAGACAGAGGAAATATGCAAATCCAAAGAATTCCCTCCCCAGAAAAATTCACTTATGTACCTACATACAAAGTTTTACAAATAATTCCCAGAGTCTTTGAACCCAACTTCTACACTAGAACTTCTGAATGAAAAATGTCAAGAATTGAAATCTGTCCCATTCTATTAATGCGTACAATAAAATACTGGTTCAAGGTACAGGAAACAGGCTTTAAATTTGAGTCAGGGTCAAATCAAAAAGAAGCCAGTTAAATCTGATCAAGAAATGAAACTCTCAACAAAAGTATCCTGAATCCTCCTAAATATTCTGTTACAAAACTCAGGTAAGATTGAGAAAATCAATAACTATCCATAGCAAATAAAGGAATTCTAGTGTGTATTAACTATAACACAATAATTATTATTCTTGACCCAGATATTATTTAAAAATCTTTTTTTTAAGTTTAATTATTTTCAGAGTGAGTGTATGTGAGCAGAGGAGGGACCGAGAGAGACCCAGAGAGAGAGAATCCCAAGCAGCGCTCACTCTCACAAACTATGAGATCATGACCTGAGCCGAAACCAAGAGTCAGATGCTTAACCGACTGAGCCACCCAGGCGCCCCATAGAGACAGATATAATTTTAAAGTTCATTTTGGCATCACAACACGTGACAGAAAAAGTAGAGTATTTGTAATAGGCAAAAACCATTTTTGCAAATAATGTTAAAATGGGGTATGGGTATGGGGATACAAGATTGGAGCTTAAAAGAAGCTAAATTACTCTGAGTTAGAAAAAGAGGAGAGATAAAAAGCCTGAGGGGAAAATCTAGAGATATTGCTGGAATATGGGGAGTTTTAAAGACTAAGCTGAAAAGAGTAATACAATAAAAAAAATTCAGTGGTTGATGCACAGTGATTTGGGATAAGCTGAACAGAGCTATCTAATCGCAGTGTCCGTGATACATGCCAAACGCACAGTATCTTCAGGAAAATCTACAGATTGCTCGGGAGGTTTTGTTTGCTTTTTAAATGAGAGTAGGAGAGGCAATGAAGCACTGAGCTCTCCTTCAAGGGTGGCCTAAAGTAATCACAGAGAAGAAATGGCAAGGTAGCCAAAATCTGTGTTACACAAGAAAATTGTAAAATTGTCCTTTGCAATGAATCTAAATGGAAATGTTTGGCCCTCATCAAAACTTCAATGGAAGACAGCTCTCCAACAGAGAACCTGAAAACACAAAAATCTTCCTTAAAAATAGACTTGAAATGTTTCAAAACATAAATTCAAATGACATACCGAATATCTTCTGGTTAAGATAGCTAAGATCTTTGGAAGATAAAATGATGACCTCTCTGAAGAGATCTAGTGAGAATGTGGAAATAAAATTGTGAATCTGGAACATTTCCTTAATGCATTAAAAAAAAAATACTGAAGTATTAAGATTCTCTCAGGATGTAGACTTCCATAGGTGTTCTTCAAGCTGATGCAGAGAGAAATTATCTTGGCTGCAGACCTTGAAATATTTAAATATAGATATTTATCTTCTTTGAATATTTTCATGTTACTTCAAAAGTATACACATCAGGTTGTCTTGAAGTTCACAATTGTATAAGAATAATGCCTGGGCTTGAAACAGCACATCTGAATCACAAGAGATCAAATTCCTTTGAATATATTCACACTGCAGAATAGCCCTGCTCTGGTTTAAAAAAAAATCTTCATTTGGTGTATACACTTTTCACTTGGAAAAGTAATTGTGTGTGAGTCTGTCCCAATCATATGCCATCTCTCTGATGAGATGATAGAAGTATCCATGTTTGAGCCTGTTTCCCCACAAAACATGTTTCTTTGGGGAACAAATTGAAGGACAAGTTTTCCATCTTTGCAGGCCACCTAGACTTTATCTTCTCAGAGTGAAGCATTCTGACCTGGAATATTCTATTCCTAATTAAAAGCAGCAAACATGAAAATGCCTTGTGTAGAATGGTGTGTTCATACAGGTCTTTAGTGGAGAAAATGTTTTCTTCATATTCATGAAATAAAATTAAACTGGAATGAATTTCTAATCAACACTTCAAGTCTTCATTATAATGATATTTAAAGCATAAAAGTACAAAAACCAAAGGAACTAAAATCCTGACTGAAAAGTATAAGTCATGCATATGTTCTGCAAAATTTCCAATGTATTACTGCTAAAACATAATATTTACAAAAACACAGCATTGAGAAAAACATACACAATGAGCCCCAAATATCTTCCAAAAGAAACAATGCTAAGGAAATCAAAATTAAAGATAATAAATAATTTTTAAATGGCACTCACCAATCACAATTGAAGACTCACAGTGATAATAACCATTACTCTGTTTTTTCTTTAGCATGGAGCAAAGATCTATGCGATGTACCATTTCTTCTCCAAATCTGTGACTGATAAATTTTTCATAGAATTCGGGGTCTATTTTTTTCACTCCCTTGAAATGACAAAACAAAATCACATCACTCAATCATTCCACTGAGGCAGCTAGTTCATATTTATATCACTTTCTTAGAACATGATATTACACGTTAGTACACAATACTGCCTACTGGCATTTGAAAATGGATACCACAAAAATGGTTTTAAAGTTGTTTTTAAAGTCTCCCTGTCTAGGATGAGTTGTATTAAAAAAATCGTTAAAGGATGTTGGGCTTAAAATTGGCAGCACTCAGAACTTCATATGCTTTAAGCTTCTGAAATAATAAAGTATATCGAGTTGAAATTTGAGGTATCAAAAAAAAGAGTAATCGTCTTCAACAACAGAGAAATGGATGAATTTTTTAAAGTGATACAGATTTTAACATTTTATAGTGTATAAAATGTTTTAATAAGATGAATGCAATTTTTAAACACCTTAAGTAAGAATCATTTTAAAACAGGGGCACCAGGGTGGCTCAGTTAAATCCGACTCAATTTCAGCTAAGATCATCATCTCACAATTAAGAGATCGAGCCCTGTGTCAGGCTCTGTGCTCAGCATGGACTCTGCTTGGGATTCTCTCTCTTCTTCTCTCTTTCTGCCACCCCCCCAAAATAAATAATTTTTTTAAAAGAACCATTTGAAGACAAAGGTTATTTGAACTGGAGGAGGAGGTCAGTGGATCTTCCAAGTCGTTTTCTACCTGCCTCTTGGCATTCTCAGTGCCTTTCATAGCAGGAAGAGGGCTGGTTGGTGAAAAAGTACAGGCTTCCACAAGCCCTTGCCACCTGTGTAGTTTCCCGTAACAAGGAGATGAATGTCTCCCTCTCCCCTTCCTACGCAATGGTCCTGCGACCAGACTCACAGCCCAAAACACAGTCCACATGACAAAGGTACAATACTTTCCAGGTCAAGTTTAATGGCTGTGTATGAAGTTTTCCTTTTAATTTATAACTTAAAAATTTTTTTACCCTGCAATACTTGTCATCTGTTAAAAACTGGAAAATACGAAGAATCGAAAAAAAAGAAAAATCATTCATGTCCGTGCCAACACATTAACAGTTTGGGTATATCCTTCAGGTCTTTTTCTATGCATATATTATGTATCAGATTACATTTGAATATATAATATATAATATTCAGATTACATTTATATAAATCTTATTAAAGTAGATCTAGGATACATATTTTCCCTTTTTATTCACAAAAAATTTTATGACAAACATTTCAAAAAGATACAAAAACAAAAAATTAAAATTAAATTAAACCCACACCACAACTACTACAATTCTGTTATGTATTTTATTTCTCCTGTGCAAAACAAAGTACTTTTTTCTTTTTTATAGGAATGTGGTTGAGCCATGAGTACTATCTGGCAATCAGGGTTTTTCCCCCCAGTTAATATGTCAATAAATAATATACAGATGTGCAAAACATTTTTAATATTTTTGTTTCCACAGTATTCCACTGTGTGGGGGGATCATTAATTTATCCATCCAACTATTTATTAGTTGTTAGACATTTAAGTTACCCTTCATTTTTAATATTATATTTAACATGTTTTTGTTGATACATGTTCTTGTTCTGTATCCAGACTGAACAGCTAACCTTTCCTAACTGCTCCACTCAAAGATTTTCCCACCTCAGTTAAGAGTAAATGTTCTCGCTGACCAGGGGGAAAGCCCTGGGGTCACCCTGAAATTGCCTCTTTCTCTCAATGTTGCCTCCAGTCCAACTGTGTTGGCTCTCCCTTCAACAAGTGACTAATTCTCACCAGCCCCTCTCTACCTTTGTCCCAGCCTCCCCTGCATCTGTCTGTCACCTGGATTATCCTGATAGTTTTCCCATCCTTGCATCCTCTACAGCCAGAGTGACCCTATCAAAACATACATCCCATCAGGCCCCTCCTCTGCTCAAAATTCTCCAAAGATCCCCATTTCTCTCAAAAGAAGAGCCAGCTTCCCCACAACAGCTCACAAGGTCCTGCTCTGCCCTCTCAGTAATTTCTTCCTGCTTCCTCCTCTAGCAACGTTCTTTCCCCAGATAGCCTCATGGCTGGCTCCCATCTTGCTGTCCTGGCTCAAATTTTACTTTCTTTTTTTTTATCAGGAAGAGAGAGCACACATGCATGGAGACAGGAAAAGAGAGAGAGAGAGAGAGATAGAGAGAATCTCAAGGAGGCTCATGCTGAGCACAGAGCCTGATCCAGGGTTCAATCTCACAACCCTGAGATCATGACCTGAGCCAAATTCAAGAGTCCAGTGCTTAACCAACTAAGCCACCCAGGCACCCCGCAGATTTTATTTTCTTAACAGAATTTCACCTGACCACTTTAATTTGCACTCCCAAATCCTTTCTACCCTTCTCTCTTTATAAATATCTATGTACGTTCTTTGATAACACATACCACCTCCTACCCTACTGTGTAATTTACTTTACTGTGTTCATTTTCACAGTCTGTCATTATCTGTCTCTCCCCCATTAGAATGTGTGTTCCCCGGAGACGAAGATTTCTGTCTGACTTTTTATTCACTGAAATGTCCCCAGTGCCTAGTACACTGCTTGTCACGGAATAGTGCTTAATAAATAATTGTCACAATGTGATATGACTTTACTCACATGTGGAATTTAAGATACAAAACATGAACACAAGGGAAGGAAAGCAAAAATAATATAAAAACAGGGAGGGGGACAAAACATAAAAGACAAATACAGAGAACAAACTGAGGGTTGCTGGACGGGTTGTGGGTGGGGGGATGGGCAAGGGTCATGAAGGGGGACACTTGTTGGGATGAGCACTGGGTGTTATATGTAGGAGATGAATCACTGGATTCAACTCCTGAAATCATTACTGCACTATATGCTAACTAACTTGGATATAATTAAAAAACAAAACAAACAAACAAAAAAACCCCACTGAAGTGGAAAAAAAATAATTGTCACTAATGCAGAGGATAAAGTTTCAAAAAAAAAAGGGTATTTGACAACATCAAATGCTGCTCACTCTACGTTCAATAAGAGTGAAACCAAGTGGACTTCTTTTGACTTGGTGAGTAGGGGGCCTGAGAAAGCAGAGCACGGTACTGAGAAGCAATCAAAATGGAGCAGTTAAATGGGCTCTGCTACTTCTCAAGATGTGGTTTTGCCTCACTTTCCCCATGTATAAAATGAGGTTAACAAGTGAACCTACTTGAAAGTGGTATATGGACTAAATTCATGAACCTCTAAAGTGTTTAAAAGAGTGAAATATAGTAAATGCTATCATATTTCTATGACAAACACTATTAAATATATATAACATACATATATACTGCCATTAGGGAATTTTGAGGAAGAACTTCAATAGAGCTAAGGTTTCAGAAATTTTTTTAAAAGGTTCTGAGTAAATGGAAAGTATACGTGCTTACTTGACTTTTATTTATTTATTTATTTATTTATTTTTATTGTTTTATTTATTTCTGAGAGAGAGAGTGTGAGCAGGGGAGGGTCAGAGAGAGAGGGAGAGACAGAATCTGAAGCAGGCTCCAGGCTCTGAGCTGACTGTCAGCACAGAGCCCGACCCAGGGCTCGAACTCACGAACCCTGATCATGAGATCATGACCTGGGCTGAAGTCGGACACTTAACCGACTGAACCACCCAGGCGCCCCACTTACTTGTCTTTTAAATGCATTTTCATTTGTGCATTGGTGCTGGTTGGTGGCAGGAAGGCAGGGCAGGCTGGTGTCATTCCCTTAGACCAGGCAGAAGACGACCAGTCATAATTTAGAAAAAAAAGGAACTTGAGTTTTCAAGATACCATGCGAGCACTGGCTGGCCACCATAATCTCCATTTCAGTTTTGTAAGATGTCATTATTTTTTTTTAGTAAGAAATAAGGGAAACAGAGTGGCAATTCATTAGGCTAATTAATTTAATTTTAGCAAAAAAGTAAGGACCGATTATTTTCGCAATTCTTCACAGATGACTTCCAATGTGAGTCTTCAAGGAATATTCATTCCTTTTATTAGAGGGTAGAATGGAATTAGTTCTTTAACTCATAATATATAGAGAGAACTGTGGTTCAAAATGCATGCCTTATTTCAAGTGCAGAGAAACAATGAGTAGGGTATCTTCAACAAGACCATGCGAAGGGTGTTGCAACCCTGCAATGGTGGATAGACTTGGGACTGTCTGACGCTACACTGGAATATTATTTTTGCCTTGAACTAGCAGGGACAGGGGATATTTTCAAGGGCTTCACATTTATAATTTTACCCAATATAACTGGCATTTCAATAATGCAACATAACACTGAAGGAAGTTAAATACAAAATAGAACAAATAAATTAGTAGCAAGACACATCAAACAGAAAAACTTTTCAAGACTGTCTTAATTAATCATTAGAAAAGACTAAAGTTTTACTTTCCTTTAGCTTAGTTTCAGGCACTGTTTAGGGAGAATTATCTGTGATGTTCAAAGCCACTTGATACCTTTGATACGATGTACCATGAAACGCTCAGAACTTCATTCTCAATTGTAATTTGGCATCCAAAGAGCCAATACAGAAAAAAATGCCACTGAGACCATGAGGAGTATTTTTAGAATCAGCTGAGGCTGCATCTGCTAAATAATGGAACCTATTTACTCAGGAAGCACTCACCAACCATATCACTTACATTTAGCTAAATGATGTGTATAATTTAATATGTATCAAAGAGGTCTCAGACTGATGTTACTACGCACCCAACTCTATTTTCAATATAGAAGTAAAGGCAATTTAATATCTACAAAAGAGGTCTCAGACTGATGTTACTATGCACCCAACTCTATTTTCTATATAGATATCTAGGAGCCATGAAATATGAAAATTCACTTTAGTTCACAATCTGAATACGAAAATCATTCTAAGGTTCTGAAAGGTAAAATTTAATTTAATGTCTGCGAGAAGGTTACTGTGATCAGAGGAACAATGGAATACCAGCTTCATTAAAAAGGTTAAGATTTTTTTTACAATAGCAGATAATTTCCTACCAAGA